CAGATTACAACATGCTTCTGATGCTATCGCAGCTATCCATTAAATCTATTTGAACTTTTATACAACAGGAACAAAACACATTGTAATGTCTTTATAGCTCTGTAATTTACGTAGATAAATTACAAGTGCACATGCAGAAATAACACCAGAAATATTAAAAGAATATTGAAGTAAAAATTATCAAATAACTGGGTGAATATGTGTTTATAACAATGATGGACGTATGGAGAAGNCAGATTACAACATGCTTCTGATGCTATCGCAGCTATCCATTAAATCTATTTGAACTTTTATACAACAGGAACAAAACACATTGTAATGTCTTTATAGCTCTGTAATTTACGTAGATAAATTACAAGTGCACATGCAGAAATAACACCAGAAATATTAAAAGAATATTGAAGTAAAAATTATCAAATAACTGGGTGAATATGTGTTTATAACAATGATGGACGTATGGAGAAGGTATCCGAGAAAGGAATTTTTAATAATTTAAAACACATAGTACAAATTGGTACGTATAAATAAATATAATTAGTTTGTAGACTTGTTATTAATTATTTGTTAAGAATTTCTTTAATAGTCTGTTTCGTTTCAGATGCACAGAAGATTAAAAAATGAACACAACAGTCAGGAGCATGTTGTGATCTGACTCTTGTTTTTTGACTATTTTACAATATTCCATGAAAATTTATGGCATTAATTTGTCTCAAAACGCACTTACCATGCTACATGTATGATATAGAATACCATTTTAAATAATTAAATTAGTTCTAAAATCTCACTTGTCATTAGAGGCTCTCATCGAGGGTACTTGCACGCAGGGTAGCCTCATGTAGAAGGGCTCGAGAATTGTGATTCGGGCCTGGCCCGATCACATATCGTTCGCGTATAGCTGTCTATATATTGTAGCAATCCTCATTGAACGAAGTATACATAGATACAAAAACAATACTTCTACAACAATACTTCTTGTTCCAACCGCTGATATAAGATATTCTATAAAATAAAGTTTCTATGGCATCAATCTATAATAGCCTACAAAGCTTCATATAAGCCAACTTAACTGCTGTCGCAGTAGGCCATTAGTAATATTAAATATTTGTTTGAGTTCATGGCATTCATTAGATTCATAGTGAAATATATACATATATAGTCTTCTCTGTCCTAAATGGTGCTTCAAGTAAGTAATATATGTTTCCTATTTCAAATGATTTGCTTAGTAAGTTAGCTATTACTGTCCACAAAATTTTGACTGGGACAATTTTTGATTAACCATTTGGCTCCAATAGTTTTCATTGACCTTTGTCAAGTCAAATATTTACATAACCTGTTCATATACATTGAAGATTGAGCAATCGCGTAGCCCTTATATACCTTTCCAGTTATTAGGAATTATAACATTATATTGACTTACTACATGAATTAGTCTCTTCATGTAAAACAGGGTGTTGAACCTATTTGAGAAATTACTATGAGTAGTAACTAATTTATTCTACAGAATGGATAAATAACACAGAGGAACTTCCTGCGTTTTGCCTCAATAAATTAGAAAACTTTACTTCCATAAACAGCCCTAAGTTTCCTTCCACAGGGCATCAAAATGTTTTATCCTAAAAGTAAGTCATCGCCACCTTGTTATTACACATTGCCCAAACATTATGTGTCTGAATATTGCAACTTTAACTTTACTTTAAGTGGTAATTATAGACTCACTACCATAAATCTCCATTTGAAACCATTGCTGTACAACTAACGTTTTGTTTGGGATTGTGGCGACTAATAATAAGATAGGTATTTGAGTAAAGTCACAATCAGGAAACAATCACACAACATCTATACACTGCTGAACCATAGTAAGTGGTTCATACTTCCAGTGCCACCACAATCTGAGCTACATATTAATTAGAATGTATGACAAGAAATAACACTGAATCAATTTAAAAAATTATCAATAAATGTGTTATTTAAACATTTGAAACATATCCTTTGGTTGTGATAAATAATATATATAGAATCAGTTTTATATCGTGATATACTTTCGATCAATCTTGTGCAATAGTCTTTAAAATTAATTTACACTGCTTTTGATCTTGAGTGTATAGTTCTTCCAAAGGAGTTGCTGGGGCATTTATAAGCAATATTTTTAGTAATGTCTATAGATTTTTAGGTCAAGCTAATTTCAAGCTGTGTAGGCAAACTAATCTCAAATAGAAAATTTTTGAGCATCCAGCCAACTTTTCACACTTTTTGCTGTATGCTTGGAATACTGGTTGTGTTGGAAAACAATTTCTTCTTCTCAACACAACATACCTAGCATGTATTATGGCAAATATTCTTCAAAAATATTTTTGTACATACACTAGTTCATAATTTAATTGACTTTGTTTAATGGGCTCACACCATTTGTCATAAAACACACCTATAACATCAGGGTTAAATTTCAATATTTGCTTAACTATTTGCTTCAATATTTATTATTTTAATATTTGTGTGCTTCAATATTTGTTTCAATATTTGCTTAACATGAGATAGTCTAAGAGTTTGCCCTCTTTGTATCCAAGCCCAATAACATCTGTTAGATGACATGATTCCAATTATAAATGGACATTTTTCATTCTTCCATGTAGAAGTTAATCAAGCTTTAATAATGATCATTAATAACGTACTACATTTCTTAAGAGCTTATCACATTTTTCACCAGTAAATTTGCATCTCTTTTAAATAATTCTACAGTAATACTCACCAATATTGTAATATAATGAATAATATACTATTTGTCTTACTTTCCCCATATGAGACATGAACAACAAACTGTACTTGAAGAGAGAAACGATTCTTTTTATTGTGTTAGATGAAATTGACTTCATTACACTTCATTTTTCAGTCAATAAGATCACAGTGCAATTAATAGTAGTAGAGCCCTTGTTGATGTAAGAAGTTGATGATCAAGTTCAATATATACTCACGTACCCAAGTCAATTTCAATAACTAAGTTTCATTTCAAGGGTTTCAATTACTACCCCAAAAAAAATCTCAATGATTATATTTGAACTGTATTAATTTTGTACAAGTAGATATCGAACCCTGGAGTTAGTACTTCCAGATTTTGAAAGGGTACTTAGAAGTACTTTGATGTTGCAGAGATTCGAACCTTTTATAAGAGCACTAAAGTACTTATAGAGAATTCGAACCTATCTCGTAGAAGTTCGAGTATATTTGAAAGTACTGTCTTCTTTTGTCGAAGTACTTATATTGGATTCGAACCTTTCTCATATAGGTTCAAGTATACTTGCAATACACTTGATCCCATTCTTAAATATACAGTTAATATAATTTGTTCTATAACCAGTTCAACATAGTGAAAAACTATTTTTTGATATTATGCTTAACTTACTACAATTGAAAAAATATAGATTCTAAATACTGAACAATTGTTTGCAGTTCCTAAAACTATAAGCAATGAATTAGTTGGTTTTCATTCAGTTTTTACCTTATGTTTCGTTCAACAATAAATAACAGATTCATTAAAAGTGTTTAGAAATAATTTAGTTTTATTCCTTACTATATCTCCTCCACTTTCCTGGTTTACCATGCTGCCCAATTCTGCAATATAAACGCGAAACACGAATTTTTGCCCCCTTTCACTGTGTGAGCCATCCTGGTTGGTCAAAAAAACTATTAGCACAATATTCGTAATTGCACGTATAGTATTCTGTGCCATCACCAATGTAATAACTAGCTACTATGCGTCTACTATTATTTAATAAACATACTAATATTTTGTAAGTAAAAATCATCCTTATCTACCACTGGTCTATCCTTCTCAT